CCACCCTAGTGCACGCTCTAGGTCAAGTCTGTAGCCAAAAATCCCAGGAGGAATGGAAAGTCACCAGACTGTAAGATAGAAACAGTGTAAGGGGCCAGAACTCTGAGAGAATTTCTGAATGATTAGCAGGTAAAACTCTTCAAATGAAACTTATTAATAACCAACCAGAGGGTTAAGAGTTTTGTTGCCAGAAATGCTCTAAACCTAGAGACCTGTAATTGCTATACATTGTCCCACAATACTGTCTCACCTCCCTTCCTATCCTCAGCCCACAGCAGCTGTGCAATGAGCGCTCAGCAGAGAAACTGCTCCACTGACTTCTTCAGGGGAGAGAGACTCTGAAGAACACTGGACGCATGATGTCTAAAGATGTGAATCGAGGCAAAGTAACCAGTAAAGTAATTCACATTCTTACTCTACAAGTTAACAAATGACACCTTTGGTGTTTTCCACTCTAATTTTTACTTTACTCACCTCATCCAGAAGAAGCAAAATCTCTGGAGGTAAAGTCCAAAATGATAAACATGTAGCAACGTCTTTCAAGGGATTATTATGTTTTCTTGTGTTACAAAATGCTGCATCCAGAAAATAATAAAAGATAAGCATGATGGTTATCATATGATCACCATCATCAGCATTACACCAGGTACACAATATTCTTCTTCACTTTGCCTTGTTTGAACTCAATCCTCTGTTTGGAATATGCTACCCAGTCTATATAAATTCTTTCTTCAAGATGCAGTCAAATTCTTATCCGAATAAAACTGTCTCTAATCATTCACAATGGCTTCATATCACCTTTAGCATTTACCACCTTTATAATTTTTTCTCAACTTTTCCAAAACTTATTTATTTATGTTGGGGGAGAGTGGGGAAGTGGGGAGGAAAGAGAGAGGGAGAGGGAGAGGGAGAGGGCGAGGGCGAGGGAGAGGGAGAGGGAGAGAACGAACATATTAACCCATTGGAAAATTTCCCAACAGCTGAGAGGCAAAGCCAGGAGCCAGGAACTCAATTCAGGTCTTTCATTTGGGTGGCAGGAACCACACTACTTGAGCCATCACCACTACCTCCTGGGGTCCACATTAGCTGGAAACTATTCAGGAGGGCAGCATGGTGTTGAACTCAGGTTAATCTAGAAGTTTTGTTGTAACGTGATGGGTAGGGGACTTTTCTTCCTTCTCTTAACACTTCATCTACTTTTCTGTAATCACTCCATTACCTTTGCACCCACTGCCTACTCAACAAACTGCTTCTCTATGCAGTCAGTTTCTGGGTTCTCAACTTCCTCCCTTATCGTACTTTCTTGTTCTTTCACATTCCTTATTGTCTTTTACTGTCACATAGTTGCCAACCACTCACCTGTTTTGTTTTCCCCATATTGGTATGTGGTTATGTAATTGTTATTAACGACTTTTGGTTTGTGAACACTATAAATACTCAGTCTGGTTTGCCAAGCGGCAAACTCAGAGAAGTCAAGTTCTTCCAGGTATACCCACAAAACACAGAGGAAACCAGAAAAGCTCATCATGGACACTTCAGGTAAAGTTAAGTATGCTGCCTTTAAAACAGATGCATATTATGGTCATTGGTTATCAAACAAGTGCACATTGAAACAAACTTAAGACATCATTTTATCCAGATTATCGAAGGTTTTCAATGACAATGCTCAGTATTTCCTCAGCTGTAGAAACGTATGCCTCATTCATGGGAGGATAAATTAACTGAAAACTTCTTGGGTGATAATTTAACAATATCCTAAGTAAAGCCTTAAAAATGTGCCTGTCATTTGACCTGGAAATTTATTCTAACAAAATAATTATATGTTTTAGAAATAAGCTAATTACAGTATTATTTTTAAAAGTATTACACTGAAGCAACATGTGTGAAATACTAGGAAACTGATTTTAAAAATTATGGTGCATTAGGCAGTAAAACCATAAGTAGTCATTAAAAATTACTTGCAAAATAACATCATGGGATGTTAATTGAAAGGACTTAACCTAAAATGTTAACAGTGGTAAATAGATGCTTTCCTCCCAACTTTCAAACATTTGTCTGAGGTTTCCAAGTGTTTATGTATTGGTTTTGAAACTGGAAAAATTTTTCATAGTTTATTTTATGTGAGATAAGTAGGTAAAAGTAAAATTATTTAATTATTTTATCCAGAGAATTTAAATTTTCTGTATTGTTATATTTTAATTTTTCTTGGGTATTTCCCTTTTTCTTATATTATAAGACATGTATGAAGGTAATTCAAAAAGTTCATGGAAAATGAAATTAAGAGATAAATTTATTTTGTTAAGAAAGTTTTTGAAATACATGCATAATTTCTAATAACTGTAAAAATGACCCCACATATCATCTCACCAGGAATCTAAATTTCTTGAACACACGACAGATTTATCCAGCTCAGTTTGCCTTACAAACACTTATGCAATTACTGCAAAAGTTCCTGCAAATAGAGAATACATAGAATTATGAAATCTATTAGCAACACATATTAAAATCTTTGAGGTTTTGTTGCAAGAATAGACAGAAAGATACCTGGAACAATGGAATTAGCCTCCAAAAAGAAGCTCTGAAATATAAAATCTTGCCTATAGTAAAGGTTCTAATTTAATTAGAAAATGAAGACGTGATTGGTCACCAGTTCAGGCTGGGACAATTTGTACGCTAACTTTGCACAGCACAACAAAATAATTTTCAGATCAATTTAAGAGTTAAATGTTTAAAACTGAAATTATAAATACCTAGAAAACAAGATAAGGATTATGTGATTGGTCTCTAGATAAAGAAAATTTTCAAAGCATAGAAACAAAATAAATCAAAAAGGAAAATATACTTTTACAAATGAAAATTTTGAAACATATATGAATATATGCATAATTTTATTCAAGATTAAATATATATGTATAAATTCTCACAAAGGGGCCGGCGCTGCGGCTCACTAGGCTAATCCTCTGCCTGCAGTGCCGGCACACCGGATTCTAGTCCTGGTTGGGGCGCAGGTCCTGTCCTGGTTGCTCCTCTTCCAGGCCAGCTCTCTGCTGTGGCCAGGGAGTGCAGTGGAGGATGGCCCAAGTGCTTGGGCCCTGCACCCACGTGGGAGACCAGGAAGAAACACCTGGCTCCTGGCTTCGGATCAGTGCGGTGCGCTGGCCGCAGCGTGCCGGCTGCAGCGGCCATTGGGTAGTGAACCAACGGAAAAAAGGAAGACCTTTCTCTCTTTTTCTCTCTCACTGTCCACTCTGCCTGTCAAAAAAAAAAAAAAATTCTCACAAAGGATAAAAGTCAGCATAGGAAAAACATGTGTAATGAATTGACAAACAACAGGTTGCTCCTTTAATGTGTAAAGAACTCATATGTTGGGGCCAGCGCTGTGGCGTAGCAGGTAAGGCCATTGCCTGCAGTGCCAGCATCCCATGTGGGTGCCAGTTTGAGACCCAGCTGCTCCACTTCCAATTCAGCTCTCTGCTGTGGCCTGGGAAAGCAGTGGGAGATGGCCCAAGTCCTTGGGCCCCTGCACCCCCGTGGGAGATTTGGAAGAAGCTCCTGGCTCCGGATCAGTGCAGCTCCGGCCATTGCGGCCATCTGCAGAGTGGGCCAGCGGATGGATGGCCTCTCTCTCTCTCTCTCTCTCTCTCTCTCTCTTCCTCTCCTTCACTGTGTAACTCTGACTTTCAAATAAATAAATAAATCTTTAAAAAAAGAACTCATATGCATTAATTAAAAAAAAAACAAGATGCCAAAAGAAACATAAAAGATATGACCAAACAGTTCATAAGAGAAGAAAATATAAATTGCCAACATAAAGAAAGGAAATATTTACCATCACTAGCTAGGACTGAAAGAAACAAATGGGCATTCGAAAAATTCATGCAAAAAGTGGAATTAAATGATGTTTATTTTGATGCCAATAATGTTGAAATCCAGGCATATGAAGTTCTTCAAGAAGTTCACAGACATGTATATTATGAAGAAATTATGCATGGATTCCAAATGGGGGGGAATAAACTTATATTTTAATTGATTTTTCCATGAACTTTTAGAATTACCCTTGTACTAGTAAAAAAGAAAGAGTGAGCTTTTTTGACCTGTCAGATATTTTGTGTTTAATGACTACATTCAATGCTAATAAGGGTGAAATAAAATATGATTCAAACATTCTATTATACTTTAGGGAACATGCCAAATGATGCAACTTTTTGATAAAAAGATTTGGAAATCAATTCAGCATTAATAGTGTCTATCGCTTCTGAAGTAATATATAAGAAAAATAAGCAAGTAAAAATCATGCATGAAAGCATTCAGCTCAATGTACGTTATAATAGTTGAGTGGCAATAATTCCATATCCATATCCTTACTACTGATTAAGCAGATCAAGACCTTTCCGACAGAATGTAAAGACGCCACTTAAAATTATGATTACAAAATAGTTTGAAATCATTAGAAGATTATTTTGAAGAAATAAATGGTAATTACCCAATAAGTAGTGGCTGTTACTAGCAAGAAAAGCAGAATGCAAGATAGCTTATATGAGGGGCAGGCAATTAGCCTGCTAGTTAAAACAACTACAGCCATTGGAGGGTGAACCAACGGCAAAGGAAGACCTTTCTCTCTGTCTCTCTCTCTCACTGTCCACTCTGCCTGTCCAAAAAAAAAAACAACTACAGCCCTCATCAGAGTGCCTGAGTTTAATACCTGGCTTCGGTTCAGCTTCCTGAATGGGTCAAGGAAGGAGTTCTGTCACTCACATAGGAGACCTTTTGGATTGGGATCCCGGTTCCCACCTTTTGCACAAACTGGGTCCATTGTAGGCATTTGAGGAGTGAACCAGTGGTTGGGATCTCTCTCTCTCTCTCTCTCTCTTTCTCTGCATCTGTCTTGCTCTTTCTCTCCACCTCTAAATAAATAAGTAAAAAAAATGTATTATGACATGATCTCAACTATATAAAATTTACTTTTTAAAAATTTTTTTATTTTATTTTTTTGACAGGCAGAGTGGACAGTGAGAGAGAGAGACAGAGAGAAAGGTCTACCTTTGCCGTTGGTTCACCCTTCAATGGCCGCTGAGGCCGGCACCGCGCTGGGATCCAAAGCCAGGAGCCAGGTACTTATCCTGGTTTCCCATGGGGTGCAGGGCCCAAGCACTTGGGCCATCCTCCACTGCACTTCCTGGCCACAGCAGAGAGCTGGCCTGAAAGAGAGGCAACCGGGACAGAATCCGGTGCCCTGACCGGGACTAGAACCTGGTGTGGCGGCGCCGCAAGGCGGAGGATTAGCCTAGTGAGCCGCGGCGCCGGCTAAAATTTACTTTTAAAGACTAGAAGGAAATATGCTGAGATTTCAATGGCTTGTACCTATAATTTCAGGTCACCATTTTTCTTTATGACCTTTGCGCTATTATAAATTATAATAAGTAATACTTATTTGTATAATCAAAAATAAAGTCGGATTCCATCACTACATGATGTGATATTATTTCCCTTGTGTTTGCAGACAACCACATGTCGGGCAGCCATTGCCTGGGCAACAAATTCCCCTCTTTCAATTGAAGAAGTTCAAGTTGAGCCACCAAAACCTGGGGAAGTTCAAATTAAGGTAAATTTAATTCTTCTAGCCTTTATCTTTGAAGGCAAATAAAAAGAAATCCTATTTCATTAAAATATATAGATATAAGTTTTGAAACTCAGTTCTATACATTTCATTTGCATTTTTGGTCCATTTTGGTTCATTTTTCCTAGTAAGAAAATTTTAAAATGAAAATAGTTAATGAACTTTTGAAATATTCTTAATTGTAAAATATTAGTAACTCACCTATAATGATTATTTTTTAATTATTGAACTTCTTACAAACTATACATTATATAGGACAATATATTTTACAATGTGACCTAGAAGATTTTTTTAAGTGTTAAGTTCTCATATTCGAAGCAACAAGGAATACATTCCTACTTTTTAAAAACTCCATAGTTGTGTGTTCAGATGGTGTAATAGTCTCAGAAAATTCACCTGAAAAAGTCTGCTATGTAATAAATTTCAAATTCAGGAATGAGGATTAAGAGCTCCGTGATAGCCTTCAATGTGATTAGAAATAGTTGGCAATTATTGAACCATGCGTAAACCAGGGATGGAAAAACACTGGCCTATCAAAAGCCTCTTGCCACTCTCAAATCAAGCTCTCGGTCAGTGAATCTCAAATTTCACAAAATTATTAAGCATTCAATATAAGGGATAATATTGATTGGAATATCTTTACCATTAAATTGACCTTTCTTTAAGTTAATTACTTGATTAAGTGAATACAGCAAATATAAAAGGCTATCTGTTCCTATTCATAGCATATCTAATTGAAGTAGGGAAAGTAGAGGGGAATGGTGCAACAGTAAGAGAGAAAAAGAATAAAGCAGATTGGAAAGGCACTAAGAGGAGAAAAGATAGAGGAAAAGGGTGAGGGTAGAAACAGAGTATGGAAGACAGAACAGGCAAATAGGGAACTAGCAATAAAATTACCAACTCTATTCTGATGCTATGCTAAAGGTTTTATTTCATTAATGAGAGAAGGTTAAGAACAAAATAAAAAGTAGTAAGAATGCAGGCAAAGGGAGGCATCTAATAATTTAACTATTTTTCAGAAGCTATATCATTCTATTTATCATTCATCTAAACAGTATTTAGTTATCACTTATTATGTGTTGGGTCACCATCCGCCAAAATGTTTACTAGTTAGTCACTATTCTGTGCTGTTATACTGCCAGACTCCTTAACTACAAAGGCTATAACTTACATAAAACTTCCTGAATAGCTCACCAAAGTGAAATCTACAGCAGCAAAGATCTGGGCAGTATCACCCTGAACCCTGAAGAAAACATATTTACAGACTGGTATGCCTAATGGTACCAACAATCCCTCCCCCAACTGATACTATGGGCAGCTTCCCACAGATAATTACCCATTTTTATGTAGTACATAGGATAAAACTAATAAGGACATCCCAGCCTGCTGTGTGCCTAAAGTAACAGTTCTAGCCTTTGCTAGCATCTTGAAGCCATTCGAACACTGTGGGAACCAAAACCACAGTATATTTCTCTAAGCATATCTAATACCATAGCTGATTGCAGCACTCCAGCTATAAAGTACTGCCTCCCTCTACAGAAACTAGAAAACCTGTCCCTATACTTTTCTGGCAGGATTCCAGGCAGAGCAGTAATACAGGAGTTAAGACATATGAAATGTTTTATTTTTATGATTCAATCTAATTGAGTTGGGCCTACACAGACGAGAATAATTAGGCCATGAATTAAGAAGTTTTCAAACTTCATGATGTCAGTAAAATTTTTGGAATAGTTGTCTTACTTAACTAAAACTCATTTGACATTATTAACTTAAGAATGTTTTCAATACACAAATTAAAATTTTGAAAATCAGTTTGCCCAGGGCATTGAAGAAATATTTTCTAACACTGAGCCTAAAATTCCATGTTTCTCAAGGGTGATACTATTGGTACCTGATCAAAAAACCATTTATTATATAGGCCTGTCCTTTATATTTTCTAACTCTTTATGATGTAAAATAAACAGATTGGATTTAAAATGACCAAAATTATTCCAAGATGAACACGAGCCATGTCACTTTGGAAAAGTCTTTAAATCTCCCTTTCCTCATCTCTAAGTTGGAGGTGACACGATCTGCCTTTTTCCTTCTGAGTGCTGTTAGAAAGATCAAATGAGGGCCAACACCGTGGCCTACTTGGCTAATCCTCTGCCTGCGGCGCCAGCACCCTGGGTTCTTGTCTCAGTTGGGGTGCCGGATTCTGTCCCAGTTGCTCCTCTTCCAGCCCAGCTCTCTACTGTGTCCCGGGAAGGCAGTGGAGGAGGCCCAAGTGCTTGGACCCTGCACCCACGTGGGAGACCAGGAGGAAACACCTGGCTCCTGGCTTCGGATCAGCGCAGGGCGCTGGCCACAGCACGCCGACCATAGCGGCCATTTGGGGGGTGAACCAACAGAAAGGAAGACCTTTCTCTCTGTCTCTCTTTCAGTTTAACTCTACCTGTCAAAAAAATAAAAATAATTAAAAAAAGAAATAAAAAAAGAAAGATCGAATTAAAAAAAAGGCTTCTAATATTATTGTTTCAGATAAAAAATAGAGAGAAAAATCCCAAACCAGCAGATCATTGGTCACTTAACCCCTGTGCAGATGATATCTTAAGGGATCCGTGGGTTTGATAATCATGTGCTGAAAGGAGAACTCCCAGTGAAATTTCCTTTAATCCCACGCCATGAAGGAGCTGGGGTTGTGGAGAGCGTCGGCAGTGGGAGTGAGCTCTGTGGAGCCAGGTAGGAAATGGGGCAACTAAAACTTCCCCTTGCCACATAGCTCCTTGACATGGACGAAGAACTCAAAATGTATCAACATGTTGCCCAGAAAAAATAATTGCCTTGCTCTAGATTCTTTTCTGAATAAGGGACAGCGATTCCAGGAACTGCATCATCATTTCTGCTTGCCATCAACCTTGGCAGTCCAATGTGGGGTAGTGACTGAGCCAGCTCTGCTGTACGTATCTACACCCAAATGAGAGTCGAGATAGACTCAGTGTGCTTCTAAGTAGATGGAAAGCTCTTTAGGGATAACAACTACTTCTTCCATACATCTATGTCCCATAGAATGATCAGTGTGGTGCCTGTCCCAGAGCTGGAATGTGCTGAATGTTTGACAAATGAAGGTTCTAATCAAGTAGAGTGTAGAGTTTGAATTCTAGTTGATAGGATGATAGTCACATCTCAAAGAATCAATGAAAAGCAACTACAGTACAGTTCATGTACCACTAGCCATAATGTTCAACAAGTAAAAAGTAGAAAGACCATTGGTCCACAGGGGTATAGACAGGGCTAAAAACAATAATCAAATCATGTCAGTTTCATTCTTATACTTTTTTTGTATTCTATATTAACTATCACATACCTGAGAAAACAGGATATTTGTCCTTCTGGGACTAGCTTATTTCACTAAGCATAATGGTCTTAGGTTGCATACATTTTGTTGCAAAAGATTTCATTCTTCTTAGAATTATCTCTATGAAATACATAAAATCTATTCTCTTTATATTAATAAAAACTGTATGCTACTCCCAGATATATTAAAAAGGATCTTGACATTCCTATTCTTAGCATGCTTGAAATGATCAGAGTGAATATGAGCCATCACCCAGATTAAGGAAATATGATAACTTCACAGCTTGGTGCCAGGTACATTATGAAATTTAAGAAGGTGCACAATCAGGATATTCATGAGGCCACTATTAGTGTATTCATTTAGTCAGCAGTTTTGGAGTGAATCTATGCCTCCAATACTAGGCATAGTTAGAGGGACAAAAGTAAAATGGCATGGTCTATGTCTCTGAGAACATCAAGCAAAGAGGAGAGACAGATACTCCAACTTCCCTGTAGTTAAAAATTCTAGAGGAAGTTGTGTGGAAATCCCTTTGGAATTTTTTACTGTCAATGATAAGATATGCCTTTTCAAAAGTTATATAAGAATTTTAATGCTTTCTAATCTTTGCAAGAGATTGCAAAAAATTGTAAGGGCCATTATAGGGACAGTGTTGTAGAACACGTGACTAGGTCTTGGTAAGTCTGTGATGACTGTGTTGATTTTCTTCCCAGACTCCATTCAGCCAGTTACCCATTAGTAGTCCCATTAGTTAGCAGGACTAACTGACAGGATCCAAACATAATCACCACCCTGTTCCTCATTCTGCAATACACAACCCTCTGAAGAAGTACTCCACAAGAACTCTGCCCAGGGAGAGAAATTTGTTTTCTTCTCTGGAATTAGTGCATCTGATAATTAATCAGCCTCCCCTCCCCCCACCAAAGAAAACACATCAGCACACCAGCAGCCTGCTGTGTGTCAGCATGCCACTGTGGTGCTGGGGTTTCAATGGAGAGAGCCCTGCCACTATCTAGCTGGACCGCTTTAGGCAGGTAGCAACTACTGTGGAACTAAATACTTCAAGGGGAAAACAAAAGGGATAAACTAGATGACTTATTTCTAAGGCTTATTTCTGGTCATATCATCCTATTTCCAAAGTATGGAAAGGCAAGCTTACACTTATTGATCCATCGTGGAATAACCTCAAATTCTCACAAAAAGAATAATGGGATTTCTTATGCTGATTTCCTTTCATTTGGGTAAATTCCCAGAGTAGGATGGCTGGGTCATCTGGCAGATCTAATTTCAGATCTCTGAGGAATCTCCATACTGTCTTGCATAATGGTTGTTTACATTTCTACCAAGAGTGTAATAGGGTACCTTTTCTCCCACATCCTCACCAGCATTTGTTATTTTTTTATTTTTGGATGATAGCATTCTAACTGGGGTGAGGTAAAACCTCATTGTAGTTTGAATTTGCATTCCCCTGATGGCTAGTGAACCTGAGCACTTTTTTTTTTCATGTGTCTGTTGGCCATTGTATTTCACCCTTTGAAAAATGCCTGCTCATGTCTTTTGCCCATTTCTTAACTGGGTTGTTTATTTTGTTGTTGTTCATTTTGTTGAACTCTTTATAGATCCTGGATATTAATCTCTTATCAGTTGCATAGTTTTCAGATATCTTCTCCCATTCTGTCAGTTGCCTCTGAACTTAGTTACTTTGCAGTACAGAAGCATCTTAACTTGATATAATCCCATTTGTCTACTTTTGCTTCTATTGCCTGTGCTTCTGGGATATTTTCCAAGAAGTCTTTGCCCATTACAATGTCTTACAGAGTTTCCTCAATGCTTTCATCTAGTAATTTGATAGTATCAAGTCATATATTTAGACTTTTGATCCATTATGAGTTGATTTTTATATAAGGTGTAAGGTAGGGGACACGCATAGGTCCAGTTTTCACAACACCACTTGTTGGAAAGACTGTTCTTACTTCAGGGATTGGCTTTAGCTCATTTGTCAAATATTAGTAGGTTGTAGCTGCATGCATTAATGTCTGGAGTTTCTACTCTGCTCCACTAGTCTGCATCTCTGTTTTTGTGTTGATATCAGGCTGTTTTGATTATAACTGTCAGATAGTATGTCAAGAAATTTGGTACTGTGATGCCTCTGGCTTTGCTTTTGTTGTTTTAGTACTCCCATATATACTGCAGCTAAATGCACAATTGCCAAGATATGGAATCTACCCAGATGCCCATCAACTGATGACAAGATAAAGAAAATGTGGTATGTACACTCTATGGTATAATACTTGGCCATAAAAAAGAATGAAATCCTGTGTTCTTTAAAAAATGAATGCAACTAGAAATGATTATGCTTACCGAAATAAGCCAGTCCCCAAAGGACAACTATGTTTTCTTTTATATGTGGCAGTTAATACAGAATTTTAAAAAATTTATAGGAATGAGACAGTTTGAGATTTGATTGTTGTTTTTAGCCCTTGTTTATAGTCCTTTGGAGCTGTGGTCTTTATATTTTTTCACTTGTTAAATATTATGGTTAGTGGTAATTAAGCCTTTGAATATAGATTGGAATTAAATTATGGTTTTACAAAAATAAAACTAAAAAAAAGAAAGGAAGGAAAAAGGGGATTGAGGGAAGGAAAAAGGAGCAAGGAAAGTATGATTTTCTTAGAATTGTACCTATGAAATCCATGAAATATATTCTCTTTATATTATTGATCATAATGAAAGGACTAAGAGTCAAAGGGAGCACATAAACAAGTCTAGTATCTGTTAACACTAACCGATAGAATAAATAAAGGGGAGAGTGATCCAACATGGGAATTGAGATACTCAGCAGACTCATAGAATGGCAGATGTCCTAAATAGCACTCTGGCCTCAGAATCAGCCCTAAAGGCATTCGGATCTGGCTGAAAAGCCCATGAGAGTATTTCAGGCATGGAAAGCCAAGACACTCTGGCAAAAGATCTCTGTGAGTGAGATCCCAGTGGAAAGAACAGGTCTTCAAAGAAGGAGGTACCTTTCTCTGAAGGGAGGAGAGAACCTCCACTTTGACTATGACCTTGTCTAAACAAGATAAGAGTCGGAGAACTCAGAGGGCTTCCATAGCCTTGGAAACTCATGACTGGAGCATAGGGAGATTACTGATGCCATAGACAGGAGTGTCAATTGGTAAAGTCAACAACAGGAGTCACTGTGCACTTACTCCTCATGTAGGATCTCTGTCCTTAATGTGCTGTACATTGAGACTTAATGCTATAACGAGTACTCAAACAGTATATTTCACTTTGTGTTTCTGTGGGGGTGCAAACTGTTGAAATCTTTACTTAATGCATACTAAACTGATCTTCTGTAAAAAAAAAAAAAAAAAAAAAAAAGAAATTATCAATTCCCAACTTGACTCTCGCTGGGATTAAACATGACAATAGGTCTGCTCTGATTTCATCATCATTTAAAAAAAATCATCTACTATTTTTCACTTTATGTTTCTGTGTGGGAGCAAACTGTTGAAATCCTTACTTAATGTATACTAAGCTGATCTTCTGTATATTAAGATAATCGAAAATGAATCTTGATGTGAATGGAAGGGGAGAGGGAGTGGTAAAGGGGAGGGTTGTGGGTGGGAGGGACGGTATTGGGGGGAAGCCATTGTAATCCATAAGTCGTACTTTGGAAATTTATATTCATTAAATAAAAGTTAAAAAAAATGACATAATGCAAAAAAAATTTTAAATATATAAAGGCAAAACAATGTGAACCACAATAGCAGCAAATTAATAATGGGATTTCTGAAACCAGGTAAAATGATTTTCCCATTGAATAGCCACAGGGGTTACCCTGGCTGCCAGAGTGTGTCCACAGCAAGTTTTCAAGCAACTCAATGAGATTTTTGTAAACATACTATTATATTTTTATTCCAATAATGGTTTCAAACTATTGATTATATAATTTTTTCTCTGTATAGGAGATAAAGTCCTCACACTCATTATTCCACAGTGCAGAGAATGCAGTTCCTGCTTGCACCCCAAAGGAAACTTCTGTGAGAAGCAAGAGTTAGTAGATTTTCCCCTCACTCTTTTATTTGCTTATATAGCACAAGCATTGACCTATAGTTAACAGTGTTCGTTTTTCTCTTTACAACTCCATATGTCTGTGAGGGTGCCTGTATTTATGTCATGGAACAGTGTTCTACCCTCTTCTGGATTAATGCTGGATGGGACCAGCCGATTTACCTGCAAAGGAAAAAAGATTTATCACTCTTTCCACGCAAGCACATTCACTGAATATACGGTTGTGCCTGAGATTGCAGTGGCAAAAATTGATGCTGGTGCTCCAGTGGATGAAGTGTGCCTCATAAGCTGTGAGTTACCTACAGGCTACAGGTCTGCTGTTCACACAGCCAAGGTGAGGAAGTATTTGCGTGTTAGCATGTGCCATAGTGATTTTCCTGACAAAACATCAAAACCTGACCAATTCTCCAAATGGTTCAACCAGTGTAAATAATTCCAAAAGTCCCAATGAATATTTTTGTTTATTTGTTTACTTAATTTTATATATGCCCACCTTTGATTCCTAATACAAGTATTTTTTATGAATTTGCAGGTTACTCCAGATTCCACCTGTGTGGTTTTTGGACTTAGAGGAATTGGTTCAGCCATTGTCATGGGCTGCAAAGCCTCTGGTGCTTCCAGGATCACTGGGGTTGACATCAATGAGCAGAAGTTTCCCTGGGCGAGAGCTTTAGGGGTCATTGACTGTCTCAACCCTCGGAACCTCAAGAAGCCTGTCCAGGAGGTGGTGGTGGAAATGACAGGTGTTGGTGTTGACTTTGCCTTTGAGGCCATTGGACTCATTGATGCCATGGTATGTGGTGCTTGGGGCACAGTGAAAGGGTACTGCCTGTCAACATGTGAGTACAAGTTGAATAATCTCTCCTAGAAGTATAAACTCTCCTAGAAATACATTTATGAAGTGTGGACCCCAAATCAAAACTAGAATGTAGGGGAGGTTATTTAACCTAGCAGTTAAGACATCCATGACCTAGATCAGATTATCTGGATTCAATTCCTGGCTCCAACTACTGATTCTAGCTTCCTGCTCATACAGACCTTAGAAGGCAGTGATGATGGCTCAAGTAACTGGGTTCCTGAAACCCACATGGGAGACTGGATTGAGTTCCTGGCTTCCAACTTTGATTTCGCCTAGTTCTGGCTTTTGCAGGCATTTGGACAGTGAACCAGTGGATAAGAGTTTTCATTCTCGTGTCTATGTGTTTGTGTTTGTGTGTCTGCCTATCTGTCTTTCTGTCTCTCAAATAAACTTTTATTTTAGGATTTATTTGAAAAGCAGAGAGGAGGAGGAGGAGGAAGAGGAGTGAGAGAGAGAGAGAGAATCTTCCATTTGTGGGTTAATTCCCCAAATGGCCACAACTACTGGGATTGGACCAGGTTGAAGCCAGGAGCCTGGAACTCCATCTGGGTCTCTCACATGGGCATTAGGTGTCCAAGTATTCAGTCCATCTTTGACTGTTTTCCCAGGAACATTATCAGGGAGCTAGATCAGAAGCAGAGCAGCCAGTACTCAAACTGGCATCTGATACGGGATGCTGGTGTCCCACCTGACTTAACCCACTGTGTCACAACACCAGCTACTCAAATAAACTAAAAAAAATGTAGATTACCTCTGAAACATTCATTTTAAAATAAAAGAAATATATACTTGGATATATGTCATTACAGTATACAAAACATGCAACACAATACCAATATTCCCTTTTCTTTATTCTCAGCTCTTTCTTTGTATCAATGTAGATTTTAAAATTTTTATTTATTTATTAATTTATTTGAAAGGCAGAGAGAGGCCGGCGCCGTGGCTCAATTGGCTAATCCTCCACCTGTGGTGCTGGCACCCTGGGTTCTAGTCCTGGTTGGGGCACCAGGTACTAGTCCCGGTTGCTCCTCTTCCAGTCTAGCTCTCTGCTGTGGCCTGGGAGGGCAGCAGAGGATGGCCCAAGTGCTTGGGTTCCTGCACCCACATGGGAGACCGGGAGGAAGCACCTGGCTCCTGGCCTTGGATCAGCACAGCACTGGCCGTGGCGGCCATTTGGGGAGTGAACCAATGGAAGGATGACCTTTATCTCTGTCTCTCTCTCACTGTCTATAACTCTCTCTCTGTCTCTCTCACTGTCTAACTCTGCCTGTTTAAAAAAAAAAAGGCACAGAGAGATATCGTCTGTCTACTAGTTTATTCCCCAAATGGCCACAACAGTCAGGTCTGGACCAAGCCAAAGCCAGGAGCCAGGAACTCCATCTTGGTCTACCACATGGATGACTGGACCCAGCCACTTGGGCTATCATCTGCTGCCTTCCAAGGCACATTAGCAGGGAGCTGGATCAGAAGTAGAGCAGCTAGGACTTCAACTGGCACTCTAATATTGGATGTCAGCATCATAAACGGTAGCATAACCTGCTGTGCTCTAATAACAGCCCCTCTCTGCATCTTATATTTGGGTATGGACATCATTTGACTCACATGTGATATTTATGTTTTCTATAATACAATCATTTACTCCCAGGAAAATTGTTAAGCTTCTATGCATTAGTGAGTTAAGCTCCAGGGATACAAGGGTCAAGGCAATAAGTACTGTTCTCTTGATTCTGATAGTCAGAGGAGAGGATGCAAACATTCAGTATACTTAAGTGTGCACCTAGTGTAGTTGGTCAAAGAATACAGGAAGTATAGCCGTGGTGTAGGCGATAGAAGAGGCAAATGCAGCAAAATGGAATAGGGAAAGGAAACAGGGTTAACATCCAGAAATTGGGATAAAATATACATGGACATGTATTCTATACATCCTTATAAAACTTGGGTTTTTGAATGAAGTTGCACATACATACAACTATATTTTTTATTTTGTTTTAGTGGAAATAAGTTGGGGAGAGAGGTATGGCAAGTGAAATGGTCAGGTAAAGAATAAAGAGTATGAAGAGTATAAAGAACAAAGAGGCAATGTGTAATTTTATTTAATTCACTACTTACTATGTTTCAGATAATGTTCCACATATTTGTTTATTTGTTTGTTTGACAGGCAGAGTTAGACAGTGAGAGAGACAGAGAGAAAGGTCTTCCTTCCGTTGGTTCACTCCCCAAATGTCCGCCACAGCCAGCGCTGTGCTGATCTGAAGCCGGGAGCCAGGTGCTTCCTCCTGGTCTCCCATGCGAGTGCAGGGCCCAAGCACTTGGGCCATCCTCCACTGCCCTCCCGAGCCACAGGAGAGAGCTGGACTGGAAGAGGAGTAACCGGGACAGAATCTGGTGCCCCAAATGGGACTAGAATCTGGGGTACCAGCACCGCAGGTGGCGGATTAGCCTAATGAGCTGCAGCGCCAGCTAATTCCACGTTTTAAGAACGATAATTCATGCTCAATGGACTTGCCCCAAACGGTAGAGTTAGAAACATGCCAGGGGATTCCAATTCAGTCACATCAAGGTGGCATGTACCAATGCCATCTCACTAGTCCAAGTGATCAGTTTCAGTTCACAATTGATCACACTGATAGGTCTGAGTCAAAGGGATCACATAAACAAGACTAGTGTTTGCTAATACTAGCTGATAGAATCAAAAAGGAGAGAACGATCCAACATGGGAAGTGAGATACACAGCAGACCCATAGAATGGCAGATGTCCTAAACAGCCCTCTGGCCTCAGAATCAGCCCTTAAGGCATTTGGATCTGCTGAAGAGCCCATGAGAGTATTTTAGGCATAGAAAGCCAAGACACCCTGGCAAAAAAAACAAAAACAAAAACAAAAAACAAACAAACAAACAAAAACCTAAATGAATGATCTCTGCAAGTGAGATCCCAGAGGAAAGAATGGGCCATCAAAGAAGGAGGTACCTTTCTCTGAAGGGAGGAGAGAACGTCCACTTTGACTATGATCTTGTCTAAGTAAGATCAGAGTTGGCAAACTCAAAAGGCTTCCATAGCCTTGGCAACTCATGACAAGAGCCTATTGAGATTACTGATGCCATAAACAAGAGTGTCAATTTATTGTCAACAACAGGAGTCACTGTGTACTTACTCCTCATGTAGGATCTCTGTCCTTAATGTGTTTTATAATGTGAATTAATGCTATAACTAGTACTCAACAGTACTTTATACTTTGTGTTTCTGTGTGGATGCAAACTGTTGAAATCTTTACTTAGTATATACTAAATTGATCTTCTGTATATAAAGATAATTGAAGGCCAACGCTGTGGCTCAATAGGCTAATCCTCTGCCTGTGGCGCCGGCATCCCGGGTTCTAGTCCTGGTCGGGGCGCCGGATTCTGTCCAGGTTGCCCCTCTTCCAGGCCAGCTCTCTGCTGTGGCCAGAGAGTGCAGTGGAGGATGGCCCAAGTGCTTGGGCCCTGCACCCGCATGGGAGACCAGGATAAGTACCCGGCCCCTGCCATCGGATCAGCACGGTGCGCCGGCCGCAGTGCGCCAGCCACGGCGGCCATTGGAGGGTGAACCAACGGCAAAGGAAGACCTTTCTCTCTGTCTCTCTCTCTCACTGTCCACTCTGCCTGTCAAAAATAAATTTAAATTTTCTATGCCAACCACATTTAGCTACATTAGTCTACATCTTCTGAGGTTCAGAAAAATTAACTTCTACTTCAATGGCAAACTCTCAGAGGAGTGCCTTGCCTATTTCATGACTTACTTGATTTCTTTTCTTTCTTTTGGCTAGTTTGATATATCTTGAGTCTTATTATTATAGCCTTTTTGTTTTGCAGGTTATAAAACCAGAGACTGTATTCTCCAGTTAGTAACTGACTACCTGCAAAATAAGATTAATATAGACCCATTACTAACCCATCAGCTGTCTTCTGATAAACTCCATGAGGCCTTTGAGTTGTACCATGCTGGAAAACGTGAGTGTTTTGTTTGCTTATCTGTACACTAATAACTGACAGAGAAAACTACTTCAAACACTTCTAAGTGGTTCTGTGCAAATGACACGGCTACTTGGACCTTTCATATCACTCACACACTAATCCTACTTTCTACCAGCACCATGATAAAAAAAGGTTTTTCGCAAAGGACCCTATTCAGAAAAGAGTGAAATCAACCTATTTCAAAGGCATGTTCAAGAATTTATCATAACACCAAGGGCCATTCTATCCCACATTATTCAACATGTATTATTTTCTGAGTTATAGAAATGCCCAAGATAAATGAGTTGTCATTTGGGGCCAAGAAATCTTGTAAGAAATCCTTAGAGATTTAGACTCCCACCCAGAGTATGAATTCTTTCTGCACAATTTCTGATATCCAGTCAGTCTGCCTCTGCTAGCATGTTCAGTACATGCTGATTTGTTCACATATTCAATCAGCACATATTTATTGATGGCACAGTGTTTTCCAGGACTGTCACAAGTGATGAAAACACGGCAGAAAATGAGCACTGAGCAGTAAACAAGTAAGCATACCTCTGTGACAAATACATTAGTTTCCTCCTTCTGATTCTAAGCAAGTCTCCCCTTCATGTTCTCTCCCAACTCTACCCATATCCTTTGCTCATTTGCTAATTTTTCAAAATCTAGATCTTTAACTTTTACTATTCCTTGTTGGTTTTGACCTAGCACAACAGTCCATTTAAGTCAGGAAGAAAGAATCAAGAAAACCTTATTGGAATTTTAGAAACAGAGTATCAAGGATGGGAGAAGGGATCCAGCAGTCAATGACACTCTGCAAAAGGGAAAGAATCAGGGGAACCAAAGTTTTCCTTCTCCATCTGGCCATGGGTCAAGTGTCTGGTGCTAGAGGACGCTGTTCTAAGGTGCAGCAGAGGGTTTGAGTGTCTTGTGTCTTGTCATGCAGCCAGCAAGAACGACACTCAGAGTTGGAATATTCCTTTCATGGAAGACATTGAATCCTAACCCAGACCCTTATCAGACAGTGATATTTCACACAGACAAATTAGAGTGAACTTGGAGTCAGGTTGGGGAGAGCAAGGCTGTAACGCTTCTCATTACAAGGTGCATAATTGTTTTGATGAAATCACTGTTTCCTACGTAATTTATTCACCTAATAATTTCACTTCTATGTTTCAGCATCTGCTGTGTTCTGCTCTTCTGAGTTAACGGATGATAAAGGTTCCAAGGGCATCCTTGGGGCCTTCCACCCTTTCCTGTTTCACCTCTCTGATTATTCTAGTGCAGAGGAAAGAGAAGCATTGGAGATAAGAAGGCAGCGTGGTTGTACAAAATGAAATGAGTGCACTTGAATATTATTGTAATAAAGTTCTGAGAATTTGTTATATAACTCCTTCCTGGTACCTTTCTCTGAAGAGAGGAGAGAATTTCCACTTTGACTATGGCCTTGTCTAAATAAGATCAGAGTTTGTGAACTCAAGAGGCTTCCATAGCCTTGACAGCTCATGACAAGAGCCTAGGGTGATTACTGACATCATAAATAAGAATGTCTACTGTCAAATCAACAATGGGAGTCACTGTGCACTTATTTCCCATGCAGGATCTCTGTCCTTAATGTGTTGAACTATGTGAATTAAGGGTAAAACTACTACTCAAACAGTACTTTATACTTTGTGTATCTGTGTCGGTGCAACTGTTGAAATCTTAGTATATACCAAGTTGATCTTCTGTATATAAACATAATTGAAAATGAATCATTATGAAGAATGGGATGGGAGAGGGAGCGGGAGATGGGAGGGTTGCGGGTGGAAGGGAGGTTATGGGGGGAAAAACGCTGTAATTCAAAAGTTGTACTTTGGAAATTTGTATTTATTACATAAAAGTTGAAAAAAAACTCCTTCTTGACTTTAGAAAGAGCAATGGTGACTTTTAATTGATGACAACGCTCATATGTCTATCAACCCAACTGAATTCTGAAATCAGTTCGTGAAACTTGCCACTAACACACCCCTTGTTCCCATTCTCAAGGTACCTTCATTTCTGGCAGACTTTTCTGTCCCCTCCCATGCCACTCTAGAGCTGACATGATGATTTTGCTGCTTCCAACATGCTGAGGTATCATATGTCTTTGGAAGATTATTTCAGGATACTCTAAGCCATTTTCTATCTTCAGGTCATCACACCATCTATGCCTGTACCCACGAAGTGGTGAGGCGTGGTTCCCAAATGTTTCCAAACACAAAGGCCCAGTTGGGAAATCTTACCACCTCGATCCCTGATAAGGTGTAGGAGTCTCTCAGAACAAATTAACCACATCTGCAACCTCATTGCTTCCTTTCAAGCCTTTCTCTTCACCTAACTGGGGTTGTAACTTCCTCATCTAGGGTTACAGGATTAGGAGAAGGGGAGTGGAGGAGGAGTAGTAGCTCCTCTTATCCTTTGTTGTTGTTTTTTGTTTTGTTTTTAAAATCATGTTCCTTCTCTCTGACTTGAGTCACTTCAATTCACCTTAACCTTTCGGTTCTTGAAAAGCAAAAGTCAAGAGGAAAATTCCTGTGCCACTCTTTCAATGGCAACATATTTTCCTTTAATTTGAGCTCAGAAAGACCTCATTGACTTACTGGGAGAGGTCAAATATCAAAGAGAACACATGAAGATAAAAAGAAAGGGAAATAGTTAGAATATGATTATGCCAGACTAGCTTTATCACTTTAATAAGCCCTTGCTGCTCTCAATATCAATTTCACATTGTAAACTGGGAAAAATAAAAACAATGTTATAGTATGCTGTGAAGACTGGAGATCATGTGTATAAGTGTAGAAATTAAAAAAATAAGAATTCTAAAACTTTAAAGAATAATATATTTGAAATTTTGAAGAAAGAAAAAAGACAACGATTTTTAAACTAGAAAATTGAATTAAAATTAACTCTATAATTAAAACATTTTAAAGAATAGAATGGCAAGGAAGACTATGAGGAACTGAGTTGTAAAAGAATAAAATGATAATTTTACTATTTCAAATAAAATATAAAAAATATCAAAGCAACCTAAAGTCATGATAATAAATGGTAAAAGAACATATTATACATTTTTAAAAAGTAGAAAAGAGTTGGAAGTCACAATGCCTCATTATAGAAGTTTGGTGTTGTGGCTGGCATGGTGGCATAGTGGGTAAAGCCACTACCTGCAGTGCCAGCATTCCATATGGGTGGTGGTTCGAGTCCTGGCTTTTCCACTTCCAATCCAGCTCTCTGCTATAGCCTGGGAAAGCAGTAGAAGATGGCCCAAGTCCTTGGGCCCCTGCACCCATGTGGGACACCCAGAAGAAGCTCTTGGCTCCTGGCTTTGTACCAGGGCAACTCTGAGTGTTGCGGTCAATTGGGGAGTGAACCAGTAGATGGAAGACCTCTCTCTCTCTCTCTCTCTCTCTCTCTCTCTGCCTCTCCTTCTCTCTCTGTGTAACTCTGACTTTCAAATAAATAAATAAATCTTAAAAAAAAAAGAAGTTTGGGGTTGGAAATACCCAGCCACCAAGGTCAGCTTCCTAAGCTAGAGGATCTCTATACTTTCAGAGAAGCCTAGAAGACAAGAAACTTGAAATGTGCAACAGGATCTGGGACAGAAGATAAACAGATAGAAGATTTTTCTTGGTCTTCACTGATAGCCTCACACCCCCAGGTATGAAAATAAAGACATCAGGTTGACCTCTACGGTCCCCAATTTATCCACTCATACATGGTCCACAGATACAATCCAACAAGAATGACTCAATAAGTACATCCTTTACTCAGAACAACAGGCAAAATTTGGTGATTGGTAGGGGCATGAGGAGTTAAATTAGATTCTTTACACTTGAAATAAAATTTCTAGACTGATTAAAAATTAAACATAAAAATCATTAAAATATTTTTTAAACTTTTATTTAGCAAATATAAATTTCCAGAGTACAGTTTACGGATTACAATGGCTCCCCCCGCCATAACTTCCCTCCCACCTGCACCCCTCCCATCTCCCGCTCCCTCCCCCCTTCCATTCACATCAAGATTCATTTTCAGTGGAGGATGGCCCAAGTGCTTGGGACCTGTACCCGCATGGGAGACCAGGAAGAAGCACCTAACTCCTGGCACTGGATCGGTGCAGCGCCAGCTGTAGTGGTCATTTGGGGAGTGAACCAATGGAAGAAAGACCTTTCTCTCTGTATCTCTCTTTCACTGTCTAACTCTATCTGTCAAAAAAAAAAAAAAAAAAAAAAAAAAGAAGAAGAAAGAAATGATAACTGTGCATAACAGGTCCGCAGAACATAAAGCAAATATTCCTTAATGTGTTCCAGGATACAGAAAAACAGGAGCACTCGGCTTCTTTTTGGAGGCAATTTGGTTCAAAGTTATCAAAGGTCATGAGTATTCCCTGACCTAGCAATTTTTCTTCTGGCAGTTTCTCCTAACTACCAAACAAGTGAATGTTTCCATTTAGTTCGATACATATTTTCAAGAACCTTACAAATGGCATATATAGCTCTATGTGTTGGGGATCAGTAGTGAACAAAATGCTATACTCCTTGAGGTCAACTTTCATCGGCCTGAAGACAAGAGGGACTTTGGAATAAGCAGTCTGTTACAATACATATAGCCTCAATAGGTATGTTGATTTTTGAGAAGACACCAAAATGTTTCTAAAATACCTTATTTTTTTAGGAATATTACAGAAACCTTTTTCCCTAACCAGTTATTTGTCCACTACAGCAGGTGAGGGTGGACAACACCCTCTGTGGATCCTCCAAGTATAAATTGTGGAAGCATGACTCAGTCATTAAGTTATTTTGCAAACACAATATTTTATTGCCTATAAGCAAGTAAGTTGGTCAGAGGACCAAAAACAGTGACCAAAACAGGACTTATAAAAGACGGTGAGAGTGGGAAGAAAAACTCCTGTAGAAAACAAAATCTGAAAGCAATAAACAAAAGCAGTAACGTTTGCACATTAGAAGAATGTAAATTAATTACCAAGCTGTCAATGAGAGCTGGGCATTCCATCTTTGAGTAAGTTTACTTGGATCATCAAAGAAAACTACTTCAGCTTTGGTGGAGTTCCCAGAAGCACTGAGGGTTGAGCATGGAGCACATGTACCAGGTTGTCTCTGTAATATTTGCAATTTTCTTCCCATAGCACCACCCTGTCAGTCAGGCCAGATCTTCATCACTTCATCACTTCCCTCCTTGGAATTTCTAACCAAGTATTGTCCACCCGCTGCTATAATAGAATAAAAAGTGAGAAGCAATATGTAGAGGATAATTTGATTCAGGATTTTATAAAAATAGGGTGATTGATTAAAATAACTGGAACCGACTATGAAAAAATATAATTCACTAAAGTGTTCAGATGTTATAATGTGAGTTTTAAGGAACATTTCTGTGGCTGGCATCGTGGCATAGTGGTAAATGAATAGAGTTCAAGGGTCCTGGCTTCCAGTTGGCCCAGCCCTGGCTGTAGTGGGCATTTGGGGATGGAAGTGCTCTCTATCTCTCTGTCTTTGAAATAAATACATAATTTTTTTTAAAAAAGGGAAAATTTCTAATTTTCCTCTGCTAAAGAGCTCAAGATAATCCTAGCCCAGTGTTGTACAGTGGGCCAGATTTTTCCTTTCTTTAGCATGCAGGTTCTGCCCTATCTCTTCCTAGACTTCCAGACATTTGCATTAAACTTGTTGCTTCCTCTTATCAGTCACTTCCTCAACTTTTATGGAAGAATCAGGTCCCCACCTGAAAATCCAGGGAAGTGTCTGTAATGAATAGCAAACTTGTCTATCTTGTTTATCTTTGTTTACCTTTTAAATATCAGTTATTAGCTCAGTGTGACTTAAAGTAGGTGTCAAAAAATCTTTGCACAATGAATTCATGCATCTGTGGAATGGACTAGACCATTATTATTTTTATTTTTCTGAAATGTAGGGAACACTGTTTGAAATCAGTTCTAAAAAAACCATGCCAAGAATTGAATTACTTAAGGATCCAGATGCAAGTTTTTGTTATAACAGTTAAGACAAGCTGCTTGGGATGCCTGCATCTCATATTGGAGAGCCTGAGTCAGACCCAGTTTCACTTCCAATTCCAGCTTCCTGCCAATATACAACCTGGGAGACAACAGGTACTTGCTTCCTGGCTGCCCACTTGGGTTACCCAGATAGATTTCCTGTCTATCTGTCTCTGTCTCTTGGTATTTCAAGCAAAATTTAAAGAAATAAATTACATTTTTTTAAAGAATCCACATAACAAAATTCTGTGAGTTGAATGCATCTGATAAAGACCTGTAATTCCTTAGCTTCTAAACTTTGCCCGA